CATCATTTTGCATTACTCATAGTGGGTCTACATTGCAACAGGCTTAATTTTTGTGATGTTCTCATCCAGAAGTGGAGTTCCCATTTTGTTTATTTTTAAATCATTGGGCAATCGCACACTTAAAAAACAAAACAAAACCCAGAAAAACCTGTCAGCTGCTCTAAAGCCTAAGTTAAGTTTCTTTCCTAGTGTAACTGACCTAAATTCAGTGTTCTCTCATGTATCTGCCCATCAGGCAGTTTGTCTGTTTGTTGCCATCTGCGAGTTCTTTGTTCGGTGCAAAACGCCCAGTTGAAAGCCTTGGGGGCTCTGGGCCAGGGTTAGCATCTGAACTTTGTCCTCACATAAAGAGCTGGATTGTTTTAAATTTATTCTTAAATTTGATATTCAACATTTGGACTACATACCTCTAACTTCAGCAAGTTAGTGTGCTGGAAATGCTCAGCTTCTTCAGGGACATCTTGAAGTGTTTGCTTATACACCATTGAAGAGTCTTGCTACAAAGATGTACATGTTTACCATTCACTGATGAGGCTTGATATCTTTGTCTCAGCCAAAGCTCCAAAAGAAACATAGCTTTCCTTATGGAATAAAAGGAAAAAAGAAGAACTAATGACAAAGTTACATGTATTTGGGAACAAAGGGCCTGAAATCTTAGAGCAACAGCCTTTTTTCCCCACTGTAATTGCAGAGTAGTCTCAGCTATTCCTAAATTAGTAGCACAGTTCTTGTGAAGTCTCATGTGTCTTAATCATGCAATCTAAATTTCTGTTCTGTGCCAAAATGTGTTTTAGTGCTACAAAGAAGGTTAAACTCTCACAGTACTGGTTTCACAATACTTTCTGTGGAAAGTACCATGTGCTCAGTGCAGTACTTTATGCTGCAAGGCTGGGTGATAGTATTTCTGCTTCAGTGTATAGGGTGTATGTAAGGGTAGCTGAGGAGAGGCCTCTGTGGCCTCTTTCCATACGTCAGGAAGTTGCGTCAGGTTGCCCTGTGGCACTTTTCCTCAAAACTGGAGAGGGAGTCAGAAGGTTGGGTAAGACAGTGGAAGAGGCTCAATTATGGAAGAGGTCCAAATTCCCCTTTCGTTTTCACATGAGACTGACATCTGATGGCTCACTAGAGCCATCACCTCTGCAGTACCTGAATTAGAGGTCACAGGTCTCTGGTTTCATTTGTCCTCTGAGATGCCTGTTGTCACTCTCTCCCTCTCTCTTCAGTGCAGTGTCATGTAGCTATATTTGTAGGCCATTATCTTCTATTTTTCATTCCACTGTCCTGGCAGCACAGTAGATTTAAAGGATTCCACTTCACTCATGACACTAATGGGGTCTCAAAGAGGTCATATGAGACAGTCATTACTCAATTTCATCAAATGCATATAGAAAGCCATGCTAAAGAAGACATTATTTAGGCTGTAAAGTTAGTAAATGCCAGAAGGAAATTTTCCTGAGGGCATTTTGGGGAGTTTATGCATAGCATTAGTCTTCCTTAACAAGATCACATCCTAGCACCACTGTCTCTTTAAGAGATGGAGACTACATCTCTTTAAGATGGAGAATACAGTTTAACACTCAGTATTTGAGCTCTGTCCTGAGGGCAGGAGTACTGTCTTCCACTGGTTATGTACTTCATCAAAATTAATTTGCTGTCATTACAGCCCAGCGACATGGAGTATTATTACCTCCATTTTACAGAAGGGAGTTCAGGCGTGAAATGAAATCAACAGTGGCACTGATTTTGGGTGTCAGCTTCAGAGACCTTGGATCTGAAACATGGATGTGATTTGATTTCCAGAATAGCTTGCACTCAGCGTTCTCTCTGTCTTCCGTGCCAAGGCTAAGGCACTTGGGCAAATCTGACTGCAGTCTCGAGGGAACAAACACCAGTAATCACATGGGAAAGGTTTGTTCCAAGTGTCTTGCACAGCACACTTTAGGGACATTGGGGTATCTGCAGGACTGTAGGTTTCTTCTCTGAAGTGGCATTCAGCTGGCATAGCTGGGGCTTGCTGTTATTCCTGAACTTATATCAGCATTCAGCTTCCATGGCCAGTGAAGCAGTGGTCTGACAGACAAGTCTCCTTCCTTGCACAGCAACAGCATCACTCCAGAGTAGGTCCTGAGCTGTTGGTTGTGTAGCTGAGAGAGGAGATTTTATAACCAACATCAGATGCGAATCCTCCCCTTTGTGTATATGTGCACACACGTCCAGTGTGTGTGAGCAAGCATGAACACAATAGTGGTCCCCTGGTGAATGTTATATATGTAAATAGCCTGTGATCGACACTGCATCCATATGCATTCTGCCGGGAAATCCATAATCATGCGATTTTTGTGGAAGTGTCTTATGTAATAAAGATCGTGATTTGAACCCTTCTTGTAGTGCACAGCACCTTCAACTGCTGCAGCTGACATTTACTGCTGTTTTATCAATGATTTCCTCTGTTTCAACTCTGGTCAGAATTTTATTTGGGAAGAGGATAAGTTGCAGTGTCAAAAGATCTAAGTTAAAACTAAACAATACCCTTGGGAGCTGCTCCTACTCAAAATTGGACTGTTAACCATTAAGTAACACAGCAACATTGGGGAAGGCCAAGGCTGATACTGCTGAACTTCAAGAGGTGAAAATCAAGAGAGAAAGGCTGGAAGGGTTGAGGGAGAAGGGAGAACTTCAACTACTGTCCTCTTTGCCTGCTTTCTACCAGCAGTTTTCTACACTGTCATTATGAAGCAATCAAATTAATGAGCTTCTTGGACATCAGGAGTCCCACCTCTGAAACAAGCTACTTGCTGTGATTCCTGTACCTTTTTCCCTGTGTAAGTCTCCTATCAAGCATGTTTCAGGATATTTGCAAAACAGTCACTTCACCTGTACCTCGAGGTGTTCCCTCAAACTAGCAAGCCAGTGGTTACACTTCTCCACTCATTTTTCTTATAGCCTGCTTTCCAGTCCTTCATTATATTATCTGCTTAAAGACATAAATTCTCAGTTTGAGATTTTTTTCTTTTATTTTTTTTTTTTGCTCTACTCTTTGTGCCTAGTACACATTTGTCATAAATAAGAGCAGTAAGGAGGCCAGCATATGACCCACGTCTGTCTTTTTTTTGCCAGGATAAAACCTCAGTCTCAAACCTGGAAGTATTTCTCAGATTGTTTTTCCCATACCACCCACATCTTTTTTCCACAAGAGGAAGCTGCTTATGTTGAATGCTGTGGGAACCTAATGGTTACTTTATCGCACAGTGAGGAAAAAAAATGTGCTAATTAAACAACATGCTTTTCTGAAACCAGATGATATTTTCATTTTCTAGAAAGAGGAAGCTTAATGTAAAATCCCTTCGTCTCTGCCTGGTGAAACCAGATGAATTGCCAAGAAGTTTTCTAATTTCATTTGCATAAGCCTTTTTCTAGCTACTTTGAAGAAAGTTCAAAGCTGTTTGGTTATTCGCCACTCAGAAATGCAGGCTTTTCCTCTGTGTTTGAGTACCAGGAGGGGTAAAACTGTTCATCTGCATATGATAATGATGTTCCTTTATTTGCATCTTGCCTTTTTAAAAAGAGGGCCCAGGTTGATGCAGGAGTCTTGGCGCTAAGTTGGCTCCAGAGGAGTCAAAATGGACTGATTTACCAGCTTTGCTGGACTGGTCAGATACAGAGGTTGTTTATCAATGCAGAGAAGTTGAGTACCAGGAGGGGTAAAACTGTTCATCTGCATATGATAATGATGTTCCTTTATTTGCATCTTGCCTTTTTAAAAAGAGGGCCCAGGTTGATGCAGGAGTCTTGGCGCTAAGTTGGCTCCAGAGGAGTCAAAATGGACTGATTTACCAGCTTTGCTGGACTGGTCAGATACAGAGGTTGTTTATCAATGCAGAGAAGTGTTTCAGCAGCTTGGGACAGGTCATGAAGGATGTTCATCTAAACAGAGAGTTTGAACAATGTGCCTGAAATCCCAGCAATGTCAGTAGCCCAGTTGCTTTACTTCTGTATCTTGTGTTCCTCTTAGCCTGTAAGATCTGGTTCCTTGTTAGGTAGAGACCTGCTTCTGCTTCTTCAGATCTGCTGACTGAACATCAGGTTTATCTTTACACAGTTAGTCTCCCCTGGACTTTGCTCCAACCAAATATCATTGGTGGATACTTTGCTTCTCTCAACTCTGCAATTAATGAAGCAGTTGTTACACTTACAAAAAAAACCCCCAAAACAACAAAAACAGGAATGTGCCAAAACTTTCATAGATGGTTTTTGTTAGAAAACCCTGGTCCCATCCCAGGCTGAGGTGACATGCAGCCCAGCTGCAATGCTCTGTTCTTGCAAAAGACATGAGAACAGGAGGGTGATTTTGAAGAGTTGGGATCATCATCAGTTGATACTACAGGTATCAACTACCTGCTTTGTGTGGGTGTAAGACTACGAGGAGTCATGGGAACTCTTAATCTGTTCAACAGCAAGTGTCTTGGATGGTCTGCTTTGCTTAACCAAAAGAGAAAATTACTCTTAAAACGGGTTGATGAAAATGTAGCGGCATCCCATGTGGGGGCTTTTAATGGCATTTTAATTTCTTAATGAGTGAAGCCCGTTTTACTGGATAAGTGTATCCAAATTGGATGATAATGTCATTTAGTTAATCCACATTAGTTTAGGGAAATGGAGCCACATCTTTTTAGTTTCTCAAAACCCCTGCATTGATGTGTCCTCTGCTATAGCTTTCTACTCATCTTTGTATGTGGTCACTTTACCCTTACTGCGCAGCCTCTCTGGGATCTGTTTGATGGGCTGGCTCTACACACCATGCATTTATTCTCCTTTCCTTTAGTTCTGCCTTTTCTAACAATGAAGCAGAAAACCAGGATTGCTCATTACAGGACAGACACTTCACTGAGAATTAATCTGACACCAGTCACTGCAAATGGTTGTAATGTGTGTCTGTGGCTGACCAGGGTTGCTGCTTGAGTATTTCAGCTGTGCTTTTTTTTCACTGGAGATACCTGTCTGAAGATACAGAGGCCACCAGCAGACACTGAAGCCCTAAACCTATACCAGAAACCCTATACTTCTGCAACTACTAAGCAAGCCAACTAATTAAGAGCATTAGTGAGCTGGTACCTTCTTAGGCAGTCTGACCATGCAGAAGGACAGAAGCTCCTTCTGTACCCTTTGGCTGATATACACTGTGTTTTATTTATAGTCTGGAACACCTAAGCAGTGTTCATTTTTCATGCACTTCTCTTTTTTCTATTAGGTTATGGAAGATCTTTTCAAGACAGTGACAAGCACAGTGCTCTCCAAATGTCCTCATGATGTGGAGCTTTTCCATAAATACATAGCTCCTGCACAGAAGGTAATACATGTGACAGGAAAGAGCTTCAGTCCTCTTATGCATTTGGGGGGGGTTCTCGGCTGTAGGGAGGCTTAATACTTATTTGTTGTTTGGGTGTTTTTTGTTACTGTGTTGTCCTGTGTTAAGAACCTGTGAAGCGCTGAATGTTGACCTGAGCTTAAGTGATTGTTCAGGCCAACAGAGGGAGGATGCGCAACCTTCTGTAGCTGGTAGCAAGTGTGGTAGAACCATAGCTGTCACATCCTCTAGCAGCCTCTGAATCATTAGCTTCAATAATCAGCTACCTTTTTAGCACTGAATGGCCAGGAGCAGATTTTGCCGAAAATTTAGATCAGAATGTAGACTTAGAAATAAAAATATAGAGGGAGGTCGCTTTTCTGAGTTTCATCTGGGCCTGTGCACCCTTAAGAGTAGCTTTACATGTTTGTGTTTTTCTTGTTTTGACCAAGGGCAGGTTGGAACAAATACTGAAGAACAAATTTTTGACGTAAGTACTATTTCAAAATGATCTGGAAGAGGGCTTTTGGGGGAAAG